CCCCCCCCCCCCCCCTCCCCTCAACAGCCAAATCCCTTTCAATCCAACCCATACTGAAGTTCAGTACACTGGTAGTTATTTAAAAGAGAAACACAATGGCAAAACAACATGTTATTGTTATATTATTGTTTGATTTTTTGAAAGGAGTCGGCTGAAATTCAACAGAATTTAGAACTCCTTAAAATAAATTATCACTTTCATTTGAATAGGTATATATTTAACAATGAGTGAAAAGGAGGGTACTGAGAAGAAGGAAGAGAATGGATCTAAAAACTCCTCAGGTGCGAGAGCTAAGCAGAGCAATGATGGCAGACCTAGCAACAAAGCAGAAGACGAACGAGTGACGGGCAAAGGCGCAAAGTCTGGCACACCAGGAACCCCCAATAAGGGTGGCAAAAATGACAGCAGAAAGGCCGGTTCAGGTGGCCATGACCATGTAAAAGAGTCAAATCGTAACCGAAACAATTCTCAGTATGATCGTAGTGGTTATCGATCCGGTGATCGAGGATCAGATAAGGGTGCTGACCGTGGAGGGAGGAATGGAAACAAGGGAGGAGGAGATGGCGGCAGCAGGGACAAGAGTGGTGGTGGTTCTCGAGGGAGTGGCAGGGGGCCACCAGGAGGTGTAAAAAGAGATAGAGAACATACACCTAGGTAAATTTTAAATATATCATATAACCTTGTTAGCTGCCAAATAAAAATATACCTGTGTTTCCTGTGTCCCGACCGACTCTATTTTTTCATGCCGACCCTAATACATTTTATTGGTTTTTCAGTCACTGTAATGCATGTATTAGCCGTTTAATTCAGTCCAGTCTGTGATGTCAGTGTTTGTGCCTCCAGCTGATGCTGCCCACCAGAGTCAAATTTAGCAGGATTTATGGCCAGTTTTTAACAGGATTTCAGCAGCATCAACAAATCAACATAATGAATCAACATATTTATTGAAGTAGGATTTTGCTAAGGGACAGATAGTAAGGTAGTTCAGCTAATTGGGAGTCGAAGGAGGAGAAGAGAGTTGGGCTGGGGAATTGAGTTAAAGAGTCTTGAGGAAGGAGGTTGAGTTAGGGAGACCCAGTTGAGAGGTCAATTAAGAGATATAAAGGAGAATTAGAAAGTTTGAGTTAAAGTGAGAATTAGAAAGTTAGTAATAATAGCAGTGTTAGCTGTAGTTTGTAGATCTGTGCAGTGTTACAGTTTACTTTATAGTTGGAGATAATCAAGTCTGAAGTGGATCGAGAGATTGAGTTCACAATAGTGAAAACTTGTATAATTTATGACAGATTAAAAAACTTGTGTTGTAAATATAGTGTAAATATATATGTACTTATTTTGTTCGATTAATTTGAAATGGAGGCAGTTAAAATTGAGAACAGAAAGTATCAGTAATACTAAAGAGAACGTAACACTGGTGACCATCAGTGGAGTTTGGATAACTAAAAACTTGTGTCCAGCAGTAGGGATAATTAAGAAATGTAACACTGGTGGTAGCACTACTGTAAATTACATTGGTTTTTCCATAACATTTAGGTGGGTCAAATAATAATTTTCTTCAATGTGTCGTTTGGGCCTGCTCAACACAAAAACTATGGATGCATTGTGTATTTATTTTACATGAATAAAAATATATATATTTGGTGACTTTCATACTTTATTAAAGCAAAAACATATTTTTAACATTCAGGGAGGTAATCAGGGGGTCTTCTTCACCAGAAAAATAAAATAAAATGAAATGTTTTTCCTACCTTCCTACCCTATTTTTTTGGAGCCAAAACAGGAAACACACATATATTTGTATTTGGCCTCAGCATATTGACATCCATCATGCATGCACAACACTACAATAGCAACTTTATAGCTGATAAGATTGTGTTTTTCAAATTAAAGATGAGTTAAAGTTGAATATAACTTAAGATTGTGTGTTTCAAAGATGAGTTAAAGTTGAATATAACTTAAGATTGTGTGTTTCAAATTAAAGATGAGTTAAAGTTGAATATAACTTAAGAATGTGTGTTTCAAAGATGAGTTAAAGTTGAATATAACTTAAGATTGTGTGTTTCAAAGATGAGTTAAAGTTGAATATAACTTAGATTGTGTGTTTCAAAGATGAGTTAAAGTTGAATATAACTTAAGATTGGTTTTCAAAGATGAGTTAAAGTTGAATATATTATAACTTAAGATTGTGTTTCAAAGATGAGTTAAAGTTGGATATAACTTAAGATTGTGTGTTTCAAAGATGAGTTAAAGTTGAATATAACTTAAGATTGTGTGTTTCAAAGATGAGTTAAAGTTGAATATAACTTAATATTGTGTGTATCAAAGATGAGTTTAAGTTGAATATAACTTTGGTAATAGTTGAATGTGTTGTTTTTTTGTTCTGTTGATATATTGTTTGTTGTTTGATTTTTATTAAATTGTTTATTTTGTGTTTTTGTTTCAGGAAAACTGATGCAAGGGACAAGAGGGAAGACAGAGGAGAGAAGGGAGATGGCAGTGAAAGGTAAATGTCTTATAAGGATACGGCATACCAATATTTTTATACTAGGTTCATATTTAGAGTCCGAATCAGCTATTCAAAAAAAGATGAAAACTGTTGAACAATTTATTTTATTTCATTTATTATTGCAATTCAACAGACTTGAGGGTCCAATTACAGAGGTACATGTTAAATCGTTTAATAGAAAGGAAACAAGTATTTTCCATTTTCTCTTAATTGTGTTTTATTTAAGTTTTGTACCTTAATAATAAACATTGACTGTATTAAAATGTGATGGGTGTAAGCCTGTGTGATATCAGAATAACACTTGTGTATTTACTCACAAAAAATGTGATGGGTGTAAGCCTGTGTGATATCAGAATAACACTTGTGTATTTACTCACTGGTAATGATAATTGTTAAAAATACTTCATAGTGTTCTTATATTAAATCACAGCCAAAAGAAACACTCATCGAAAGACACCAAGTCTGCCCAGATGAACTCAGCAGCAGATCTAGAAGCTCAGTGGCTGAAGGAAGAAGAAGAAAAAAAGAAGAAGGAAGAGGAAGAAGAAAGAATCAGACTTGAGGAGATCAGGAAAAAAGAAGAAGAGGAAAAAGTAATTTATCATATATTATTTAATTAAGAATCCATTTGATTTGTAAAACGGTCAATATTTAATCATAAGCTAAAAATTATCAATTTCATTTACAGTACCCATTTATTAATTGGTTAATCTAGAGTTATTTGCTATGAGCATTGTAACTAAGGCCAAGTAAAAATATAGCTGTGTTTCCCATTTCCCGACCAACCCTATTTTTGACACATGCCGACCCTAAGACATTTTATCAGTTTTTCTCAGTCACTGTTATGCATTTATTAGCCGTTTAATTGTACAAAATGTACATATAAAATAAAATGTTTTTCCTACCTACGTACCCTATTTTTGGAGCCGAAACAGGAAACACATATATTTTAATTTGGCCTAAACATGTATATAATATGGGTCAATTCCCCTCTCCAATTTTGGCATTAATTTCCCCTATTTCAACTCTATTTTCCCCTAATTCGGTTAACAATTTCCCAACTTTTAACTAAAATACTACCACATGAATATCTGTCTTTGTTCCATTTTGTTTTTATTTTCCGTCAGTTCAACGACTGAGTGATTTATTTATATTTCCCCAGTGTTTATGTTGTCACTGATGATATTTTACAACACTGTTAATGGCAGGCCCTGTTAACAGTATACAATATATCATAACAGTCATACAAATGCTTTATTCTGACGTGTATCTGGGTCGATTAGAATCGTCCATAATGAACAGCGAGAAACAATAATTTAAGTTGTTGACATTCATGCCCCCTCTCGTACTCTCCCCCTGTCTCTGGCCTGCAGCCCTTGCTGGACGGGTCATGCGCCTACAGTGCATATTTCCCCCTATTTCAAAACAAGGTACTAACTTTCCATTCCTGCATCAATCCCTGACTAAGAACATAGACTTTAGAAACGTTTCACTTAAATGATTTAATGTGAAGGAGGCAAATACACTATATATGATACAGTCCCTAGGGGCACCAGACCTGTGACCTGGGAATTCGTCTAATTTAAAAATGGATACTATTCCCAATATCCTTGATTAATCCCTGATTGCTCAATCGAACAAATTACCTCATGTATGAAATTCATTTACTTCAATTACTTCAGAGAAAAGAAGAAGAGGCTGAACGACTGAAGGAAGAAGAAATGGTAAGTTGCACAAGAACATTTGAGTTAGGATTGGTATGAAATAGCATAATATGTTAAAAAGAGATTTCATAAAATGATCAAACACACTATCATTATTTAACATGAATGATAAATTGATACTTCATACTTGAAAGATTTAGGCAACAGTTTAACTTGATATAACTACCGGTACACTACTTTGAAGTTTATATTCAGGTAACTGCTGCAATACTGGGCTTGATTTAGGTCAAGAAAAATTTGTATTTAAGTCAATCCAAGTAGTAGAATTTGTGCTTCCCATTTCCAGCTGATCGACCCTATCTCTACCTTTTTCCTACACCCCCACCTTCACCAAAAAATGAAAAAAGATAAAAGGTTTTCTCTGCTTTTAAAGCCACTTTCTTACTGGGAATAAAAAAAGGAAGCACAGAGTAATACAATTGTCTTGTACTACATGATGTAGTAACTTATGATGTGTGTAAAAGTTTTTTATTTGTTCAGTCATAAGATAATACGATTTGATTTGCAGTTAAAGTTGGGGTTTTTTTAACATTAATGTTTGTTCTTTGAAGAAATGCATACAAGACTATATCACAGAAAGTAGAGAAAGGACAGAAAATAAAAAACTACTGCGAGGACGAAATTTGGCTGCAGCAGGTTTGTAAATTTATGTAGACCTTCTTAGTTTCTGAATTTAACATTGTTGTGCAAGTTAAAGCAAGTGTATTGAAGTGTTTTAACTTTATAAAAAAAATCTGCTTTAATATGGATATGTCCAGAAGAAAAAATTGTGCATGGCTTCCACTTAATGGCACATTCGTAAATAAAGCTTACCAAATTTATCTGGCTTTAAACCCATGACTGGTAATAAATTCATCCATATCTATTGCACTTAAGTAGAAATACCAACAAATATTATTTCATTGTCCTGTAATAAGCTAGGCCCTTACTTTGAGTCAGAAATGACATGTTGGCCCCTGGGTTTATTGATCGATAGATATGGTATTCAGGTAACATTACACTTTTTCTCAATATGGTATGTAATCTAGTTTGTTTATATCGTGTGGTGTTGGAAAGGGCCCAAGTGGTATGTATTATCTAAAATCTGATTTCTTAAAAAATTACACTGTATATTAAAATTACTTTGGGTATAAATTCACAGAAAAAAAGTGTTGAAAAAAAGCAAAAAGCATCACCCATTTTAAGAGGAATTAATCTTAATCTGTACGAGGTCGGTAAATGGAATTTTAGAAAAAAGAATACAAAGGACAATATGTATGGTTGGGCCTATTTTGGCCCCCAAATGCATCAAAATTCAAAACCTTTAAATGAACTTTTAAATGACTGTTTCTTTTATTTTAAAGTCTTCCCAAACACTGTCATGAAAATATTTATCTGTATTTCTAATTATTGTTGCCATGGTAACAAGTTCAAAATTGCATAAATTAGAAAAAAATGAATATTCAGAGAATTTTGTCATATTTTGCATAGTTTTTCTCCTGGAAACTGTAGAGTGCATACTTGAACAAACTCAAAATCAAAGGATAATGTGTAGGCACCTGTAATACATCTTTAGGAGAAATATAAAGTTTGTTCAAGAGTGTGCTCTATGGTAACTAAGAGAAAAACTACCGGTACGCAAAATCCTGTCAAAATTTACTGAATATTCAAATTTCATTACTTTATGCAAAAATTAACTGGTTACCATGGCAGCCATAATTGAAAACCTAAATAAATGTTTACATAATAGTACCAGGGAAATATTCAAAATTAAAGAAACACTTTTTAGTACTGATTTGAAAGTTCTATTGAAGATTTTCAATTTTGATGGATTTGGGGGCCAAAAAAGGCCCAAACCATACATGGTCCTGTGATATTTGAATGTATGTATTATTTGGATTTTGTCATCCTTTTGAATATGATGACAGCTGAATTAGTTTTGTTTTTGTTGTAGACCAAAGGCCAGATGAAAGTTTTTTTACTAAGCTTGATTCAAATTTAAAGAAAAACACTGCTTTTGTAAAGAAATTGGTAAGTAAAATTTACACATTTATGATTTTGATAATCACAAACATTATATTATCCCTTATATATATGTGGTTTATTAATTTAACATAGAAAAAATACACCTAGTTTAATGTAGGATACTACTGTTACTTCGACAAAGAGCTTGTAATGGAGGATTGCATTACTTGTATAATGTAGAGTATTGTTAGTTGATATAAGATCAATTAATGGAGAATAGATAAGTGTTAATTTGACAAAGATCAATTAATAATCAAGAGCAAAGAGTTACTTTGATAAGTTTCAATTAATGAAAGATATTGTTATCAAAAAACATATAATGGAGGATAGTGCTTGTTTGACAAAGATCAATTATTAATGGAAGATATATGTAGTTGAACTTGTACAAGCATCAAGCTACAACATACATTGTGTGTGATTGATGAGCAGACCATATGATATTTGAATACGTTGGAATGTAAATGACTTAATCTGTTATAATATAAGCTCTAAACAGTACTATTTTTATGAATTAAATTTCAGAAAAATTTGACTGAATCCCAAAAAGAAAGTTTGACAAAGGAGTTCAACGGCCTTAATTTGAGTAAATATGTTGGTGAAGTGGTAAGTGTTGTCACTCTATTCTTCATCCATTGGTGCAGATTTGGGGGGGGGGGGGGGGGGGGGGGGGGGAA